CTTCGCAACCCCATGGACCAGATCCCACCAGGCCCTCCTGTCTTCCGCCGTCCTCTGAAGTTTGCTCTCACAGTTAAACTTACTAAGTGACCTTGGACCAAGTAGGTTTGTTGTGATATTAAAAAGGAGGAAAAAATTACATACATTGCCCTGATCTGCTTACAGGGCAAGCTGAATAAAAATCTCGTAAGTTAAAAAAAAAGCCTTCTTTTATAGAATAGCTACAACATCCTCAGTTGTTGTAAATATCTTTAGCCAAGTCTATTCAGGAATAATTGAACCTATTTGAAAAAGCACTCAACACTGCCATTCATGTTAAACCTCTTAATATCCTTTGAAAGGGAGAGATTGGTAGAGAAATTTAGTTTTCTATTTAACTCATAATTCTCCAGTCCCCTCTGTGTGCAGATACATATTTCCACAGATAGAGGGCACACTCCCAACAGGTTTTTCTTCCGACTCCGGGGACTCTGTGGATCTGTAGAAAAATCCAAAAAGTAAAAAACAAAAAAACTCAGAAAGGGTTGAATTCCCCCCCAATAACTTTTGAAATGGTCATTGCAGGGATCTACTCCAGGCCCTGCCACATGGACAGTGGGAAATACACCGAGATAGCGCGGGGGGGGGGGGGGGGGGGGGGAGCAAAAAGCAGGTCTGGATTTTGGATTGGAAAGGATTCCTCCTGCAGTATGAATGGCTAAATAGCAAGGGGTTTGGAGCCAGGCCTGCGACTAGGATTGCCTGCTCCAGATTGGGAAATTCCTGGCGATTGTGTTGAAATCTGAGGAGTGCAGAGTGGGACAGTTTCTCCAGTGGGACAGATCTCTGTTGTGGAGAAAACCCATAGTTTTCCTCAGTAGAAGCTGCAGAGGGGAAGCTGAAGACGGGCAGATAAAGGTATGTTGGCTGTTGGGTGGCAAGAAGATAGGGATGCCAACTCCAGGTTGGGAAATTCCTGGATATTTGAGGGGTGGAGCCTGGGGATGGTGGGCATTGAGGCAGTGAGGGACTTCAGACAGATATAGTGCCATAGACTCCACCCTCATTTCCTCCATTGGAACTAATGTTGCAAACCTCCAGGTGAGGGCTGGAGATCTGGAATTACAATTGCTCTCCAGATGACAGAGATCAGTTCCCCCAGAGAAAATGGCTGCTTTGAAGGGTGGAGTTTATGGTGTTATATCCTGCTGGGGTCACTTCCAAGCTCAAACCCCATCCGCCCAAGAAAGAAGAAGGGGGAGACAGGAACAAGCAGAGGTGGGAGGAATGGGATAGCTGGTCCCACAAGTTTCTTGCAGGTCCCCACTTGTTCTACATAACTGCAAAGGTATTAATAACAGCTCAAACAAGCTACCCCTAAACCTCTCACATTTCTGACATCCTTTCTTACAATGGATCATTAATGAAAGAGGTAAAAAAGAAATTTAGTATACAATGACATTGCAATTATAGAAATTTGGGGAACCAAGGTAACCAGGTACAACCCTTCTTAGGTTCCATTTATCTGGAAAAAAGGCAGGTTTAGAAAGGTATTAAATAAATGCATATGTCCATATATTCTTTTACTCTCAGGAGGATGGTCTGATAATTGATTTTTGCTGAATGTACTAAGTTTTGAATTAGTCTACATAAGACTTCTGTTCAGTTGGGGGGAGGGGAAGAAAGCAGAGTGTAGCTAGGGACTTTCCAGAGTTCCCTGCTAGAAACAAGTCAAAATATAAACAGTGAGGAAACAGTGACCATGTTCTAGCCAATGAGAAATTAGCCATTTCCTGATGCTGGCAGTCACTAAGCAAAACATCCATCAAGCCAGGCCAAAGCAATACTTCATTTTGTGAACATAGCTGAATGTGTTGCAGTCTACGACACAACTGTTGTGTTGGCTGTTCTTTTCAGGAGGTATTCTGTTAACATCTGCCATCATTTAATTTTAGGTGGCTAAATAAAGGTGAGTCCTGTCTTACAATGTTGTTTGTCCTGTAAGGTCAATATTCAGGTCTGTGGATCCTTTGTAAAAAGACATTCTCTCCCAGGAAAAGCTGAATTGTTCGAGCAGTATTAATTATACGAATTTAACAAATGTAGTCATATTTGCTTATTTTAGGGTTGCCAACCTCCAGGTGGAATCTGGAGATCTCCTAGAAGTACAATTCATCTCGACAAGAGAGATTGGTTCCCTTGAAGAAAATGGTTGCTTTGAAGGATGGACTCTGTTCTTTATGCCCTGCTGAGGGCCCTTCTGTCTCCAAACCCTGTCCCTCCACCTCCAAATCTCCAGGAATTGTCCAACTCCAAAGTTGGCAACCTTACGATTTTGTATTATTTTGCCTTTGCCAGCCATGGGGATACAATGGAGAGTTATACAGATCACCCAAGCTTTACCCTTTAACCTTGCAAATCTTTTTTAGACTGCCCTGTACAGCTTTTGACAGTTTATGCAGCATTGCTGAAACACTCAGTTATGTTGTTACCACCACCATTCACCCAATGAATTCTGTGTTTGCTTGAAGTATCAGCATACAGCCGTGTGCAACTTCTAAGACATGACATTCTTCAACATGTGGCTGTCTGAGATTCAGAAATTTCAATATGCTAGAGCAGTCTCTACGAGGGCTCAAGGTACATCTCCAGTGCTCTCTTGGGCTCATGGCATGCATTCATAACCAAAGCATCAGTGAGTTAGCATTTACTCTGGGGTGTTTCCTCAGGGTAGTATCACAGACAGCATCACTGTATGTCAGATCTGGGCATTCCAGGATGGAATGGTTTAGCAGCAAAGGGATTAATAAAAATTATTAGCATTTTACTATTCCCAAATACATTATTTTCAAGTATCTCAAACAGATTCCACTTTTTAAAAACAACCATTTTACTGATTAAAACTACTGTTCTAGCTTTTATATTTTTTCCATAAATATTTTTAACTAAAACCTGCTATATATCTTGGAGTGGAAGGGTAGAATTTGGTCTAGGGTTGTCAGGTCTCCTTGTAGCTATGGTGGGGGATTTGGGGCGTGTTCCGGGGGTGGCATCCCAGAAGTGATGTCATCGAGTCGGGAATGTTCTGGTATTTGGGCGATACTATGTTTTTTTCGCCCTCAAAACCATAGAGTTTGCCCAAATACCAGAGTGTCCCCACACGATGTCCCTGTTTAGGGGCGGATGTTTCCCCTGTCAGCCAGCTGGTCTACGGTGGGGAGAAGCCCCTGAAACCAGAGGATCCCACACCCAAACCTGTGGGATGGCAAGCCTAGTTTGGTCACATATAAAGGTAATTATTTTAAAAGTTTTTTTCAAATATACCATCCTCTGGTCACAGGAGGAAGCTGAAGTTCCTAGTTCCTTATTTTTGATTTATTCATGAATTCAGCCTAAGGACATTGAGGAGAGTTTAAAAGCTCTGAAGTCCATCCCCATACTCCGGAGACTGTCCCCTGCAAGAAGACGTACAATGGTGCCTGGTCCAAACACTAGTTCTGGCACCACAAGCTTCTATTTGGACTGCCACCAAGAGGCTTGTTTTTTTTAAGGAGATTTGAATAAGGAACTGGAACAACTGCATGCCCTCTGTACACCAAAATTAGGGTTAGACCGCCACATGTCATCTACTTCCATGTTCAGGGGACTCTCTTCTATGAGAGGACATATGCTGTGTTCTGGTTCAAAGTATAGTTCTTGTGCCAGCTGCTTGAAAGTGAGGTGCTCCCAGGACAATCACCATGCAGTCACTAGGTTCAGTCTGCTCCCCCAAACAATCTTTGGACCACCCCAAATGACACATCCCCACATTCCGGATGTCCTGCAAGAGGACATACGGTGGTGTCTGTTCCAAACACTGGTTCTGGCACCACAAGCTTCTATTTGGAGTGCCACCAAGAACCCTGTATTTCAAAGAAGATTTGAATAAGGAACAGAAACAACTGCGTGCCCTCTGCACCCAAAAATAAGATTGGGACTGCCAAATGTCTGTGTCCGCCTGTGAAATTGTCCTGGGGCACCCCACTTTGGAGCAGCTGGAATGAGAACTGTGCCTTGAACCAGGAAACACCACATGTCCCCTCGAAGGGAATGTGGGGGTGTATGATTTATCGTGGTCCAAGCCTTATTTTGGGGTTCAGAGCTTTTAAACTCTCCTCAATATTTTTTTGGCTGAATTCATGAATAAGTCACGAATAAGGAACTGTGAACCAACTTCAGCCTCTTAGAGCAGGGGAACCATATTTTAAAATCTTCTCTCAAGGGAAATAGCAGGATGAAAACATATTTTTAAACTTGATAACCAGAGCTTTGCATATGTTCAGCTCTACCTCTCATTTGTGATAACAAGCTGAAAATGAGTTTATAGTCAACAGTACCCACGTTGCAGCCCAGACCCCATAGCTACTCCCATGAGAGAATTATTCCCTCAAAAGTATCAGAAACAGCATCCCAGATCATGAGATCATCCAGAACTGATGCATGTGGATGACCCATTCTAGTAATATTTTTAGAGGTCCATCCACAGGCAAAGTGCACTCAGGGTGACAATGTTGGGTAATGCTGGAGAACAGATGATGGAACTGGAGAGGACAGCATTAATGCAGCAAAACTACAAGCTTTCCTATGTTTTGCAGAGATTTTCTTAGTCCAAGTTCCTTCAAAATGAATGCTGAAATCTGCTATTAGGTGGTCTAACACATCTTTAAAAGAATTAAGAACATAATAACATAGCAGCTCTGGAGTTCCTTCTAATCTGACGTTAACGACCACCACAATTAACAGAGTTTAGAAGGGGCCTTTTTTTGTTTTTTTGTTTTTTTGTTTGTTTGAACCCAGCATTGTGGATGAAAAGCCGCTGGCCAGTTAGTGCTTCAGCACAACTATGTGGTGAAAGGAATTCTTGGAGAAGTCTGCCTGGCAACTAATGATGTCATCTCAGCAACCAATAGGATGTTTAAAAATTACACCTGAAATAAGATAGCCCACTCTAAGCCCTGTATATGATATTGGTGTGGGAGGCTGAGGGGAGGGCCTGAGGGGTATTTCCAGTTGGTAAAATCCTGCAGCTTTCATTTCCTCCACCATTCTGAGGAACAGAACAGAGTATTTTTTTAAAACCTTTTTAGAGCCAGTGCTGAGACAAGAAAGAATATTCCACTTGCAGCCAGCAAGCACAGCAGCAGGTCAGCTCCAGAGGAAATCACCAGCACCATGGAGAATGACAGAAGCAACCTTCTTGCCAGTCAACAGACACTCACGGAGACAGCTGTATATGCTGGAACTGTACAAAACCAGCAGCAACGGTATTTATCTCTCTCCCTAATCATTTTGTATATTATTTGTACAAGATAGATCTCCACTAAGTTTGCCCGTATGAATTGCCAGTCGCATGGAACGGCACAAGTTGGTGGGAGATGCTGGGCCATTCTTATAGATGCTTGGTCTTCCCTTGCAACCTGGTTGGACATTCATTAATGAGGCAGGCAGCACCAACGCAGGGAGACAGAAGGCAGGCATTTAATAGGTCCTTGTTGGGTGGGCAGAAAGCATTGTGCAGGATGTGGTCCTTGGCTTCCATTCCCAAACTAGCAAAAAAATGATTATGGGATGCCTTTGAAATGGAAACAAATAGTAAAAACTTGCAAAACTAGAAAACTTAACTAAGGATGTTTGTTCCGTCCCATTCACCCTATGTTTGTTCTGTCGAAAAATACTGTACGTGTGTCACTTGTCTCTTAAACATCTCCTGTCCTGCTTAGTAGCTTTATCCCAAGAGTTGGTTCCAGATATGTGATTCCTCTTTTCAGATGGAAATTATGCCAAGCAATGTTCCCTCTAAGTTGTGGAGTCTTGTGAGCAAAAATTCTACTTTGTGAGCTGCTGGCATTAAGGTTGTGAGCGAGCAATGTGGCTACTGCATAAATTAGTTGGCTCTGGAGCCCTCCTTCCTGAGCTAAGATAAAAAGGTGTGAGCTGGAGGCTAAAAAACTGTGAGCTAGCTCACACTAACTCAGCTTAGAGGGAACACTGATGCCAAGTCTTTTGGGGCTTTCCAAGACTTGAAGGCTATAACAAAATTGCTTTTGGTATCTCCTTGAACTGAATTTCAGACTTCCTTGCTCCTGATTCCATAGCTACATTTTCAGAGCAATCCTGTGCAAATCAGTGAGCTTCGATTGGAGTAACTCTGTATAAGACTGTATTGAACGTTTGGGTGGCTTTTTCATCACTGGACAATTATTAAATCTGCTCACCCCCGCTTCCCTATGCAGGGTGATTCATATTTTATACAGTGCTGTTACTTTCTCAGTTTCAGCCCTGTGATTTCAGATACCCAGTTTAATGCTTCATTTAGGATCTTTGTCTCCTCCAAACAGATTCCTCTCCAAATTAGAAACCACTCTGATAGAACTTTCTGCATAACAAGCATTAGTCAGTCTAAAATCTCTTCTGTTAAAAATAGTATTCCCACTGTTAGCTACGATAGAGTAACTTGCAGGATGAGGTGCTTATTTATTGTTACATTTTATCTTAATTTTCCTCAAAGAAACTCAGAACATGTAAGGCTCACAACAACACTATGAGGTGGGCTAGGCTAAAAAATTATTTGCCCATGTTAACTTACTTAATAGGACAAGAACTTGAACCCATGTTTTTAATGTTCAAACTAAGTTCTATTGTCACTGGACCATATATATTTTCTTAGCCTGCCTCAGTTTTGTACTTTGTCGTGTTGTGATTATGCCTAATGCTCTTGGTTTCTTTGGGTTTTTTAAATCTCTTTGCAGTGAATAATCATTTCTTAACAATAGCCACCATTACAGGGGATCATGTTGCTTTGATGCTGGCAAGAGGCAATATATGCGGAACCAAACAGATACAGCCAATCAGAAATTAGATACTGGATTACATCATAAGTTACTAGGGAGAAGGGTATTCAAAAAGCTCACATTCACACTTCAACTTCTTTACAGAGTTCCTGACCAGACTGAATCTAATCACGGTGTTTATCTGCAAATACACTGTAGTACAGATGGAGTTTAAAAGGGAAAAATGCGTTCTGACCATGGTTCAGCTCTAGATAATTTTTGATTGAAGAATTTTCTCAGTTTGTGAATTCTAGTCTTGAATTAATGTGAGGAGAAAAATACGGACATGAGATCTATTAATACAATTGTCAGTGCCTAAATGGGAAATGTGAGAGACCAGCAAAGAAAGAAACACAAACAATATTGAATGTAGACCGTTAAGGTAGAGGGTTTGCCCAAGTGGTAACCTTGCAGAGAACATTGAAAGGGAGAAGACCATGCATTTGAAACCACTGTGAACCCAGGTGCCTCTGGTATGGGGAGAAGGAATGTCTGAAAGCCAGAAGGCTGCAGTGGTTGGGTGGGGTAGGAATTGGGAAGGGGGTTTATAAGAGCTGGGTGGGTGTGCCCAATGTGGCTTCTAGACTGGAGGAAGGTATTAGAGCTGCTTTCAGATATACAGTGCAAAGCCTACTTTGTTCATGACAAATGAGGTAGGTTTATTCTTGGGCTTCAATGGTACCTCTTACACCTCCTCTCTACCCATACAGAGCTCTGACTCAAGAAGAATATGGAAGAAACTACAGCTTGTGTGTTGCCCAAACTGGCTGCTTTGTTGAATTGAGTTTTACTTCCAAACCAGGGTTCTAAACCTCAATTCACCCCTTAGAATCCCTGTTTACAGATTAGAAACAAGCCACAGTTTGTTAAAGTGCTTAATGTTCAAGTCACAATGGATTGTGATTTCTTTGTGATTAAGGGAGAGAGTGCATGAACTCAAGAATGTATCAGGCTCAAGAATGGATCAGAGTTTGTGCAAGACAGCTTAATATAGTCCAAGAAAGTGAGAGAGTAGAATATAATATTACAAATGTTGAGTACTCTGAGTAATTATAAAATGTATATTTTGACTATTAGTCAAGATAATATGGCACTCTCTGTGTTATTTATGCACATGTGAATTTTAAAAAAATGCTGTTTAGAAGTCATTACTGAAATCGTACACATTTAATTGCTGGTTCTGTTGTAAGAAAAACAGGCCAACAGCTCACCATTTTCACGTTTTAAAACTAATCAACCAAGCATTTTGTTCTACTCTGGAGTTTTGTCTGCCTAGCAATGAGTGATGTCAGAAGTACAGTAGATCATGATTGGCTACAGCTCGGGAGTTTCCCAGTCAGCCAGTCTGCTTTCTTTTTGATGGTAAAGAGCAGTGCTGAGTATGTAGAGTGATTTGCTTGTGTAAAGTGCCTGCCTGAAAGGGACAGAGATCCTAAAAATTGGGGGGCGGGGAGGAGAGAATATCTGAACAAGTACAATTTAGTTGAAGATGACTTCATGGCTTTCTTTTTTGTTACCCAAAAATTATTTTGAAAATTCTGCACAAATTAAAGTGGCCAAAAAAGAAGAGTCAGCTCGCAGTTTACATTAGAAAAACTTTGTCCGCTATGGTATTTTTACTTGTGTACTACCTTGCAGGTTTACAAGACTGAGCTATAAAGATTACATAGACAAATAGGAGGCTCAGAAGGGACGCCATGGTGATTTCTGTACAACATCAACACAGAATTGTCATCTAAGCCAAGTTGGGGGGTTGGGGAGCTTTACCAATGTTGCTTTCTAATGCTTGCAAAAATGCTGAGAAACAGCTTAGTTATCAAAGCCATCTGTAGCACTGGTTTGCAATTAATAGTCATAGAACTGTACAGCTAGAAGATAACCACAGGGAATTTAGTCCAATGCCTTGCACAGAGAAGTGCCTGGAATGCACAAACATATTTAGAGCAGTAGTTCCAAGACTTTCTAGCTTCAGGGAACCCTTTCCATATTTACTTCTCTTAGGGATGCCAGCCTCCAGGCAGGACCTGGGGACATCCTGATTTTAAAGCTCATCTCCAGACTACAGAGATCTGTTCCCCTGAAGAAAATGGCTGCTTTGGAAGGTGGACTCTCTGGCACTGTACCACACTGAGGTCCCCCCCCCTCCCCAAGCTCCATCCCTAAATCTCCAGGAGTTTCCCAACCTGGAGCTGGCAACCTCACCTCCATCCCCTGCCAGTGGACAGGGCAAACCTGGCAACTCTAGTTTCTAACCCTAATTCTACTGTCACTACTAAATTTTCCACTAAGGTACCTCTGAGAATTTCCCAAGGAACTAGGGTTGCCAACTCCCGGTTGGGGAATTCCTGGAGATTTAGGGGTGGAATCTGGTGAGGGCACCGTTTGGGAGGAGGGGGACCTCAGCAAGGTATAATACCATAGAGTCCACTTTCTAAAGCAGCCATTTAAACTGATTTCTATATTCTAGTGATCAGTTGTGATTCTGGGAGATCCCCAGCCCCCATCTGGAGGCTGGCAACCCTCCCAAGGAACTCCAGGATTTCTAGTGCACAGGAAAATACTACCAGGCAGTACATAGAAAACCAGGCAAAGGCCTCTACGACCTTTTCTGCACCTCAGTGTTGCCGCTGTTTCCTGGTGAGTTGAATCCCCATTTGATCCCCCGACTTTGCGGCATCCCTTCCACAAAATGGCATTTATTTCAGGGAATTTTTTTTCTTGAATTCTGATCTGACCCTCCCCATGTGTTCTGCACTTCCTTTTAAAAGAGGTTGTGCTGCCTGTCGTCATATACTTTGTCAGCGACAGAACCTCCTTTTTTTTGGCATATACAGTAGTGTTATAACATTGTAAAAAAAAAAGGCTGGATAGATCATGGAGAAAAGCATGGTTGCCAGTGCCACCATTTTAAAGGTTCCCTGCTCCTCCTTAGTCTCCAACTAAGAAAATGGCTGGCGAAGATTCCCACAAAATCCTAATGAAAATAGTATTCCGTTCACAATCGTGGAACTGGATGCACCAATTCATAACAGTGTTGTTCAGTAATTATGAAGCACGCTAAATGGAAACACTGCACATGTTGAGTTTCCATGATTATCAGAAGAATTATATAGTTTCATTATTTTTAGATGTTTAAAAGACTGAATTGTCATAAAAAACACACCAGGAGCTATTGGGGGGCGGGGGAGAAACAATACAAGTGCTAGGCAATAAAACCTATCCACACACACACACACACACAAAAAGGAAAGGAAAGGAACTTCATGAACAGGTAATTGCACGAAGAAGGCTACATGAAATCACGCTGCGTGTTTTGTCCCAATGTTATAACATTACTATATTATAATGGGGAAAATCGTGTCATAACGCAATCAACATTGCACTTAAAAAAATTAGTGGATTGCTTAGGGGACAACCTGAGGGGGCAGGAGGTGAGATGAACGCCTAACACTGACAACCCATAAGGGTGGTGGGAAACAAAATTTGAAATCAGGAATTCCTCACTGGAAAACTGCGAGTTCAGACCTGAAGGGGGAAAAAAATCACAGAAAAAGTAGATTCGGAAAATGCAGGGTAACGGGGCACTAAATTTGGATCTACTCCTGGGAAGGCAAAAAGTACAGAAAGTTTTACAAATTTCAATTACTTAAGAACACTGATGCAAAGAATTTATTTTTACTGGTACTCTCTTTCTTGGGAGGTTCAAAGAAGCAGATGGGAGGTACAATTTTTGCCACTTTCTTACCATTCTCAGGCTGCGGTCACACGGAGCATTAGGCACGCTAGAGGGACGGAAGATAGGTGGATTTTCCGGGCGCGATCTCACTGCCACATCTGGGAAGCGTCGAGCTTCCATGGCGAACCTGAGGCTTCCCGCGGAAGATGCGAAAAAACTAGTACCTCAGAGGTACTAGTTTCCGGAAACCGCGGGGCAAGGGCGGGCATCTGATCGTGTTTCTGGTGGTAGTTCCGGCTCCCGCCCATGTCCCCTTGCAAAAAGGTTTTTTCCCCCCAAAGTCTCCACGGATGCGCACAAGCACCCAAGGGAGCATGCACACATTTGAGTTTTAAAAAAAAACCCCAACCCCGTTTGCCCCGCGCCCTGCTTCTTTGCCGCGCCGCAGGACTGTGGAGTGATCGGCACCTCCCACAGGACCTCCATGGTAGGTCTGCTCGAGCAACCGCGCAGTTTTTAGCCCCGGGACAAACAGCCACGCTCCACCCCCCCATTTTCCTGCCCGTGTGTCCGCAGCCTATGTAAGGTTGTTGTCAGTCTCAGGTGGGGCCTGGAGAGCTCTCAGAATTATGACTGATTTCCAGACTAGAGAGAAAATGGCTGCTTTGGAAGCTGGACTCCATTGCATTACATCCCTGCGGAGGTCTGTCTCCAACTCCATCCTCCACAGGCCCCACCCTCAAATCTTCAGGAATTTCCCAACCAAAGTTCTCAGGTACCGGTTCGTACCCGATTACTTTAACCTCTTGTAGCACTGCAAGTAGAAAGTATTCACGTGAGCTCTTTTGAAGCAATCTATCCTCATGCATTTGTCATTCAGACCAAGCAGAATGTATTTTCTTTCAGAACGATACCAGTTATATGGAGATGGAACGAGGAAGTTTTTTGGATGGCTGGGCACTGACATCCTCTCTTGTATCTTACAGGAGTTCTTCCAGCCGTAGAGCTGCCTACTCTGTCTTTACCGCACTGGCTGTCTTGCTGTTCGCAGGCCAGGCAGTTACTGTCTATTTTGTGTATCAACATGAGCACAAGATTTCCAGGCTGACCACCACTACCCAGAACCTGCAGCTGGAATCACTGGCCAAGAATCTTCCTCACAGTTAGTAGCTCCCTCTTCACCCTCTAAACTTCCTCACCATATCACAGTTATTTGTTTATTGTGTCCTGCCTCTCTGCAAAGACTCAAGGCTCTTCGTGGCTCACTAGAAGTTGAACACATTAGAAACAAGGAAACAGCTGAACAGACTGGCATTCACATCCATCAGCTGTCTATATATTTTAACCCTGATTGCCATCTCCTCTTGCTTGTAATCCTCCTTGGTCAAAGAAACCAAATTGTAAAGCCTTCGACAACATATCAAATTGTAATTGCTTCGTCTATCCATTCATAATAACGATGTACAGAAATGGTTGTTTGGAGTATACAGACTGCAGAATTTTATGCTTAAGTCCTCCTCCTTTATAAAATTCTCTGCAATTGGAAAGCAACTATATCATGAAGAAATGTTGTATACATTACACACTAGGGTTGCCAACTCTAGGTCTACAAATTCCTTGGGATTTGCGTGTAGAACTTGAGGAGGGTGGTATTGGGAAGGGGAGGAACCTACCTGAGGTATAATACCATAGAGTCTGCCCTTCAAAGCTACTTTCTCCAGGATAATTGATCTCTGAAGTCAGTTTTACTCTTTCCTCCTACAGAATCCAAGTCACCTGGCCAGATGAATATGCCATTGGCCAATATGATGCCGCTGCCCATGAGGGATCTATCCAGTACTACAGAGGTAAACATGACAGAATGGATAGGCATTGCTTAACTTTTACAAAGGGAGATGCCATGGTTGAATATTGCCTTGAATCTTCACATTTTGGCCCATAAGACCAGCCTCTAGATCCTGAGAACTATAAGGAACAGTTATGGATGAAGAGAGGACATTGGTTTGGATTCAAACTAGCATTTTCACAGGTACAAGCCTTTGCTCCACTGGAGTGCAGTTTTCCTGCCACCCTCTCCTGCTGCAGCCTGAATCCTGCCAAAAACCTGTTCCTTCCCCCAGATGCAGGATTTCAGCATATTTCAGGCTAGTGCAGGAAAACCATGTTCTGCAGGTACAAGGACTTGTGAGGATTGAGCCATTTCCCATAGGTTCTGAGGGAGAAACAAACCATCCTAACTAATGCATGAAGTGGACAGGTTTTTATGGGACTGTCACTTGAACTGTAAATCTGAGTGCTATTTGTTCCAATGCTAATTATTTTGCTAGTTCTGTTTGAAAACTGGTGTAACTGCAAAGTTATATGTGTTTCATATCAGTTAAATGCCATGGCTTCCTTCAAAGAAACTTGGGAACTGAAATTTGGGAAAGGTGCTAAGAATTCTTAGTTAAGAGATCCCTAGATCTTTCTCAGTTTCCAGAATTACCTGGGGAAGGAAATAATTCCAGATGGGTAGCCGTGTTAGTCTGTAGCACACCATAGGCTGCAGTCACACGCTCCAGTAGAGGTGGAGGGGAAGCGAGGCTATTCCCTCCAGAGTAATTCGACCCACAGTTGCAAGATCACACCTCCCTTCGTAGCTGCAGGCTCAGCCCATCACTGTGTGATCAGACGCAACTGCAGGTGTATCTCTTTTTTTTTGCTGTTTGTTTCCCATTTGCATAAACAAGGAATTGCACCTCCACACCAAGGGCCCCCTATGGGTATGCAATGATGCGCATACTGCGAAGAGTGGGGGGAAATGGCACTGAGCCGGGATGGTCTGATCAGACCATCCCGATGGCCAGGGGTCTTGTTGTAGAAAAAGAGCTGCCGGAGCTCATTAGCATAACTCATTAGCATAACTTATTTGCATATGCCACGCCCCCTGACATCACCGGAAGTGACAGAAGGCCACACCCCCTGACATCACCGGAAGTGTGTCAGAAGGCCCGGCTACTTACCCTCCTGCTTCATCCTCATTCCCAAACGGAATGAGGATCGAAGCAGAGGGCGGGGTAAAGAAGGGGGCGGGGCTTCACCACGTGACCGCCCCGCCCCCTAGAGGTTCTCTTCCGGAGCTCCGTACCTGAGAGCTCCCCCCCGACTAGAGCCCTGCCGATGGCATGCATGCATGCTTGCCCGCTCAAACAGGAAAGTCCGTCCGTGGCCTGTCGCAACCCATTTACTACAGGATTTTCTCCAGTGTCTTTTTACTCCGCTTCTGCAGTGGAGCAGCATGGGTTGCCAATGACTGTGGGATGCTTCCCAGATGTTGCTGTCTGACTGTGCCCTTTAGATCCGTCGGGCATTCGCGCCTATGTCAGATCTACTGGTGTGTGTGATCACAGCCATAGACTAACAAAATTTATTCCAGCATGAGATTTTGTGAGTTCAGAGTTCACTTCATTGGTGATGGTGTCAGCATAAAAGCTTTATGCTGGGATAAATTTTGTTCGTCCTTAAAATGCTGAGAAAGGAGAATGAGTATTAAACCAGTTTAAGTCTATAGTTGTAAATGTTTTCCTCATGTGACTAATTCCAAACATTGGCTAACTTCCTTCCATTCCCTGTTATAACAACTGCAGATGTACTGGAGCTTCTTCTAGTTCTCTCACCATCTCCAGTTTTTTACTTCCTCATTGTTATTTATCCTACAGGCTTCAGAGAATGAAACCCAGCTGAGCAATAAGACTGAAGACATGGTTAAACGCTTGCTCCTGGTAAGACTCCTGTCCTTGTTGCCCAAATAGCAATGTTTTATAACTCACCGCAAAGCTGATGGTTCTCCATCTGAAGGTCAAACTGCTTGGCTAGACCCTTGGCCTAATACAGCACAGCAATTTTTATTTCCCTTAGGACTGCTCATCTGCCTCTGCCTTTGCTTGTCAGTGAAATTTAATTGGTGGGAGTGCTGGAGCGCTGCTGGCTATCATTGTATATAGGCAGGGATCCAAGAAGTGATGTATGTGCATGGTTTGTCTCATTGAAGAACTATGCTTTATTTATGTAACTACATTTTGTATAGACCACTTTTCTGTGTTGTTCAAACCATATAGAACAGCACTTCAAGTTAAAGTCCTAATCGAAGAACAATTTAAATAAAATAAAGCATAACAAGTCAACCAAAAGCCTTACATACACAATTGACTGAAAAACAGCTTCACCGCCCTCAGTTCATTTGTCTGTCCATACTATTGGGATGGAGCTGCCACAGAAGAAGCCTTTGTATGAGCTGGTACAGAACTAACCTCCCTCAACAAGTGGATGGTAAGTTAACCCTACTGTGAGGACTGGAGTAGTCTTGCTGGCTCATAACTAAAGAGGGAGACCTGTAATTATGTGTACCACAGGCTGTACTGGGCTTTAAAGGTCAAAATCAACACCTTGCAGTGAACCCAGGAACAAACTACCAGTCCAGGTTTGTTACTTTGGGTGCTGCAGTTTGACATAGTATACAGACTAACAGCAAGGTTGCTTGGTTGTTTTAGACAGTGGAAAATTTCTGTGTCAAAAGTAATAAGGCACACTCTAGCTATGTAGGTACTTCTTTCCTATCTGTGCATAAAACCTCTTTAGTTCTGGACTGTAGACCCTAACTTAAGTGTCCATAATACTAACCATGAGAAGTGCACAAGCGCTTAAATGCACTTTAGAAACCCACCCACCCCTCACCCACAGACAAGGCAACAGTGTACAAATTAATTCTTCCAAATTACCTCAGTGGGGGCAGATGCTTGGACAATCAAGTTTAGATAAATTAGAGGGAGTTTGTTGCATGGCATTAGTCTGACAAAGATGGATTAAGATAATAAGTAATGTTAGATAACGAAAACTCAGACAATGGGAACTGTGGTGCGTTCAGAATATCTGATTCTAAAATATTCAGAAAGGCAAAAAGCAGTTGATCAGCTTCAAGTTCACTTGCTATCTCAGGTGCAGTAAATTGATGACAGTCTTAACGCCCATATGTGAGTTGTTCCACATTCTCTGGAAACTGGGGGGAGGGGTAATTTACAGTACAGGAGAGGCAACCAGAGGGGGTGCTAAACCCTCTCAGTGCTTTCCCCATGAAGCTCATTTTTTCCCACCTCTGTCAAAGGATGCTTCCAGTCTCCGTGCCCCACCAGAAGTAGGTGGTTTGGGGAAGAAAAGAGACGGGTGAGAGATTTTGTTCTTTATCTCACCCTACCATCCACCCTGCTGCTTTGTGGTAATGTGTGGTGAGGTAAGGCAACATACAGGCCTGCCACCAGCCCATTTATTTAGACTGCTGTTATCATTCACCTCGCTGAACTGCTGAGATCGGGCTGTTCTTTTTGTTTGCCGTCAAGCTGTGCACTCTCCTGTCACCTGAGAGTGGGCGTCCTCTTACTTGAAAAATATCAGGCTGTGCTTGGAAATTGTTTTCTTGGTCTCCTGTAGTGTCCTTGTGACTCTCTTAAATGTGTCCCTTTCTGCAGATGGGAAACCCCACCAGAAAGTTTCCTAAACTGGAGAAAGCCTTCATGGACAATATGATTCAGCTGAGGAAAACCATGGATTACAGTGACTGGAATGTAAGTGCTGCTGCCATCCCAAGATGTCTTTGGAAGCCTCTCCTGTCTTACATCACAGTGGATGCACAATTCAGTGGGGGGAGATCTTGTGTAGTAGAAGTGGACTCTTTTGCATTTAAAAACCCTGAAACAACTCTTACTTTTAGATGTGCTATTGGAGGATTGTGTTTTTTTGTAATGAACTTCAGTCCTATTTCTCTTTTGGTCTGGGAGCAATCCTAAGAAGTTATACTCAGAAGTAAGTCCCATGTTATTTAATGGGACTTATTCCCCAGAAAGTATCTTTAGGATTGCTAGGAGGAAATAACTGAGGTGGGGGAGGAAGAGGGATGATGCAAAATGTGAGGCTTGCCACCCTAGGCATGATGAAACTGTGATCCCATTTTAAAAGAAAATAACAGTAACTATAAAACAACAAAATATTGTAATTGGTAGGAACTTGAGAGTGAGCATTTATCCAATTTATAAATATCTATATGTGTGTGTGTGTATATATATAATAATATATATATATATAATAAATTTTTTCCACTGTATATTTCGATTTCGTGATGCAGGAAATATTTCATAACAATACATTTCAGAGTTTTACCCTATACAAGTGGCTGTCAAGAGACTATAGGGAGTACATATCCTTTGCAACATGCAATGCCTTTTAATTTTATTCAGAATCTATTCAGGGCATTGAGTTTGATAATCTACGTGGCTTTGTATAGGGTCTGAGGTGCACTTGCTAACTATCTGGAAATCTAAGAAGGGGTTGGGAAGAATCTGGGGATATAAATGTTCTCTCATGCAGGGAGAACAATTCTGGACATTGGATTTTTAACTATGCCAGTAAAACTCACTAGTTTAAGGTTAAAATTGTCCAAACCACATGGCATGGCTTCACAGAATGACTTACTATGCAGATGATGTTTACATTGCCAGTGCAACACAGGGAGCAAATCTAAAACTAATGATTTGGAAGCTGGGCCAATGTGATTTTGTCTGTTTAAGAAAAAAGCTGTACTCTTTTCTTCACAAGTTTAACATAATTGACAAGGTTGCTGTTTGTTAACATTATGTGGTCTCTTGCAGTCCTTTGAAGTCTGGATGCACAAGTGGCTGCTCTTCCAAATGGCCCAAACTAAACACCCAGAAGAAGTTGCAGCAGTAAAAGGTATGCTGGATCTATAGGATGGGAGTGGTGGGGGATACTGTTGGTCTGATAGGCAAATTCTAGGTATTTCTGGAGATGGCTTTGTTGCATTCAAGCCAGATCTCAGTAAATATCCATAGAATCATAGAGTTGGAAGGGACCTCCAGGGTCATATAATCCAACCCCCTGCACAATGCATGAAATTCACAAATACCTCCCCCTCCACACCCACAGTGACCACCGTTCCATGCCCAGAAGATGACAAAAACCTCTTTTTACAGTATTGCGCTATTCTTAAAGAGATGCAGGAAATAATTTGAAAAAATCATAATGCGCTACAAACTGTGCTCTGATATCAGGAATCTTTGTGGGGGAGCTAATTGCTAAGGTGACTGACATCAGAACTAGGTACTCTGAAGGTCTCAGTGCTGCCTCTGGAAATGGCAGCCCTCAACCGACTTTCCCACCACTCCCATGTAACATATAGTATTAGTTACCCCGTGTAATGTGACAGCACTGTGTGTTTCATGGCCCTGCCAGCAGCAGCCAGTGATGTGAGGTAAGTGTGGGGAAATGTATCATAACACGGGGTAAGTGATGTACTGAGCAAGAACTCAGCCCAGTGTTGCCAGTTTGGGCAGCAGCCCCATGTCCTATGCAGTGTGCTGTTCTGCCCTCAAGCAAGCCAAAGTCTCAGTCTCTTGAAGGCAATACTCTCCCTCTCACCTTTCCCATCAGAGTTCTGTTATAAATGCAAATATAGTCTGAGCACTGTTGCTAATTTCACCGACCCAGTTTTTATGTATAGGGGTGGGGCCACTGGACATCCTTAGCACTAAAACTATCATGGGCTTGCTTGAAAGAACTATTCCAAGCTGGGCCTGGAAAGGGGTTTGGCCCTACCGCTTACCTCAGAAAGCAGCAACTCAAGGGTGCTGCCTAAGGGGAGTCACCAAAGAACAACAACCATTTGCAGCCCTGACTGGCTGTCAACTATGGTCCCGGTCACACCAGTGGGAAAAGCCGCGCTGGAAGTGCGGCTTCTTAGAGTCACACCAAAGGAAAGCGCGGCATTGGGATCAGACGCTTCCCCCGAGCCACCACACATATTCTGTCTGGCGCAATCACATGGCCGGGGGAAGCGAGGCAAAGACGGATGAGCTGAGGCTGCTGGAGTATTCGTGCACATGCGCAGTCCGGCAGTCCCTCAAATAACACGGGCTGCCGGCGCGTCCGCAATCCCACGCCCGGCCTTGCTGCGGATCTTCCGGTAGGTACTACATTTTCCCTAGTACCTTTTTGATCCGTGTTTTCGGCCGGAAGGGATGGGTTGGGGGCGGGGGCACGATGCTTGCCAGATGTTGGCATCTGATCGCACCGGTTTAATCTGCCCTCAACCCGTCCGTTTTGCGGGGCAAATCGTCCCGTGTGACCGGGGCCTATATTTCTTTTTTTGAAGGCCTTGGGTCAGCACTATAGTGACAGATGTGACTGAGCCCTAGAAGACTACCTTGTTTAGTTCTGAGCATTCTTTGGCAATTAAGAATGTCTGCAAGTGCAAAATACTGCAAATAATGAAAATCTCAGCTACTGAATGGAAATAATACTGGATGCAACATAAGCAAACCTATGCAAAATAAGCACATTTGGGTACCATTAATTGCTCATCTGCACTGGCCACTTGTATGTTTCAAGATTTGATTTAAGCTGATGGTTAAAGCCCTACATGGTCTGGACCCAGTGTATGAGCATCTCCTCTCACGTCAGCCTCCATGTATTGCTTTGGGTTCCTTCCCTACCCAAATTAAGAATTTGTAAGCCCTAGAATAGGGCCTTCTCAGGCATAACCCCACAGTTCTGGCATTTTTATTTCTTATCCAGGTGCAAAATATGTTTACATTGCTGTTGATTTACTGTATTTTGCTTTTTGAAGTAATCGTACATCCCTCTGGGTCCCTGGGCAATTACTAAATGAATAGTTTAAAATGTCTTTTTGTTTGGAGACCACATGAGCAGGCTTTTTATGTGTTGTAAGGTTGACCCTTTAGCAAGGGAAATGTGCTTGATATGGGGAGCAGCTTCAGCCCAAAGCAACTTGCTGTCTTTTCAAAGAAAAAGCTGCAAATGGGGCATTTTGGCAACTTGCGATCTAGCTTTGATAGGGTTGCCAGCCTCCAGGCGGGGCCTGGGGATCTCCCGTTTTTACAACTGATCTCCAGCTGACAGAGATCAGCTCCCCTGGAGGAAATGGCTGCTTTGAAGGGTGGACTCTGTGGCATTGTACCATGCTGAGGCCCCTCCCCTCCCCAAACCCCACCCTCTCCTGGATCCACCCCCAAAGTCTCCAGGTATTTTCCAACCCACATCTGGCAACCCTAAGCTTTGACTTGCAACCCTTCATGCTCTAGAGCCACTGGTTTTTATTCTCTCTCCACTAATCAGAACACAGTGGAAGAAAAACATGGCCCGTCCAATGGGAAGTCACAGACCTGAGCAACATTTGCAAAGCAACTGGCAAAGAGCAATTCATTTAAAATTGCAATCATCTAAGCCAAATGATGCACTCAGGAGGAGGGAAGACCTGTTATTTCAATTAAGGCCCACATCAAAGGGATGCTAAAACCCCCACTGAACCATCTTGAATATTTGAATGGCTCCCTCCCCCAGGGATTTACAATATACTATCTTGAACTTTGCCACCAATATGGACTGTTACTTTTCTACACGTCACTTCAACACCATGTTTAAAAAGGATACATATTTCTTTTGCAATTTCGGCAGCTTTTGAAATAAAAAGCCCAAAGCTGAGAATTTTATACCAATTAGCCACTCAGCAGTGGTCGGACGCATCCCCATTAGCAGAATTTATATTAATACTGCCTCCATTAAGCAGGACTTATTAGCATTTGCTCTCATTAGGCTAAATGGGTTCCCTGGGAGCCATCCCAATAAAGAAGTGGTCCTAATTAAACTGGCATATTGTTACAAAAAGTGTTCTTTCCTGATCCTCCTCTGCCCCCCCATAGTGTAGCCACAATGAAACAACCCATTTTTTTAATGGGTTAAACGATGATTCAGCCAGAGCAAAAGGCCAAGTGTTTCTTGGTCTGACCATTTCAGGCTGCTGGTAGGTGGTAGTGTGTGCGAGAGTTGTGCATTTGAATGCTCCCTTGTTTACATTACACTGTACACAGGGAGAAAAAGCATGTTAGAGGGAAGACTTCTCCCTGAGATGTTAAGCATGATGTAACCTCATCTTGCTGCCTAAAGTGCTTGCTAAAATGCAGTAAGTTTTACCATTGGATTCTCTACTGTGTAAACTGTTTCTCTGTATGCATTACGAACACATCCTGTGACTGATACTTAAAACTGCATGCATTAAGAACACAGATACTAATATGCTAACTTTCCTCCTTTTTTAAAAAAATAAGTGCAAACCAAGTGCCAGGCGGAAGCAAGTTTTAAAGGCATCTATCCAGGAAGGTTCCGCCCCCAGTGTGATGAAAATGGCGATTACCTGTCTAAGCAGTGCAATTACAGCACTGGGTATTGCTGGTGTGTCTACAAAAATGGTACTGAAATCGAGGGTACCAAAACACGCAAACCGCTGGAGTGCACTGGTAAAGAGCTTATATTTGCTGCATATATATGGGGGAGGAGCTAATAAGAAAGCAGATGTCTATATGTTCCTATGTCAACTGGCTTATCAGTAGTTAGGAAGCCATAAACATTGATAGGACTTAAACCCAAGCCATGTTGATATGATATCAGACTTGATGCTATTGATGCTTCTTACACAGCATAGATGTAGCTGCCCAAGAGAGGAGGGATATTGAGGGAGGGTTGGGTAGAAAAGGGGCAAGATGGGCTGGGAGGCGAGGGTACCTGTGGAGCCTGGAGCAGTAGAACATTCAGGCATCACAACATACATATTGGTCTTTCATGTGCCCCAAACATTCCAGGTTCCATAACTTGTTCTACAGATAGTCTTATGCAAATAAAACAAGTCTACTTCGTTTCTTGAATTTGCGCAAAATAACATACACAGCTTACTGGAGAATGGACCAAAGAGTCAATTTGAAGCCTGTCTGGCAGTTTGCAAATTATTTCCCCCCCCCCAGATACTCTCAATGAATAATATACTTCAATGACAATGTTTGTATACTACTTAAGAAGATAGTTGGATTTTTTAAAAATCACAAAGAAAAATAAAGGTTACTGAACATAGGATAGCAGTGGCCCCTAGAAAGGTTCTTAGAAGTGGCAATAAGAAGCTCTCAGAACTCTGGAAAGAATGGAAGCATTTATTGTCCTTTTCTGCAGGAATGTGGCAAATTTTGGATCCTGAGAATGTGACATACTCAGGGCAGGATCTTCTGCATCTGAACTAAGTAAGAATTTGGATTGACTTGGGGTAGCTTATCATTGGGTCTTGGAGGCAACTTTCTGTGCTTAGTTCTGTCGTTATGCTCCCAGCCAAGTGTGCAAGAAAGAGGATGGGAAAAAAGAGCAACATGCAGTGGCTCTGTAGTCTCAGAAGTGTGATTCATCTCCCCAGAATGCCTGGGCCAGACTGATCATGCACTTTCCTGCTCTGTGTACAGATGGGCGACCCCTGGTGAAGTAACAGATGATGTGAACTGCAGCAGCTGAATGTGCCCCTCGTGTGCATTGGTTGCCAGCACGAGGCTGGCAACCAGTGGAAACCAGCTTGGGGAGGGGGGGGGGCTTGCTGGTGACATAATGACATTGCTGGCATCTCATCTGGTGCAACTGGAAATAATGTCACTGTATTGCTGGCAATGCTCTAGCATTAAGCCAAAACTTGGCAGCATCCTGGGGTAATGACATCATTTTATTGCCACCTGACTGGCAGAGGGAAGGGCTAGTGGGGGTGAGAGGTGTCCTTCCATAGTGGGAGACCCGGCAACCCTGGCATGTCCCCCTCTTTGTTCAGTGCTGTCATGTAGAAGTTCCTAGGGTATAAAAAATGAAATGTTTGGCCAATGGGATCGGTTTAAAGAGCCTATGGGTGGGAATGCCATGAGGGAATACCCTTCCTCCCACCAGATCAGAAGTACTGTGAAATGTGCTTATTTTGTTAAGACTTCTTTCAATTGTGGAGCTGCGGTGGCTCAAGTGGTTAAGACGCTGAACTGCAGGCTGTGGAAGGTCGGTAGTTCAGCAGTTCGAGACCCCGTCTCTAGTTCCAGCTCCTGCCAACCTAGCAGTTCGAAAGCAAGAAATTGCAAGTAGATAAATAGGTACCACTTCAGTGGGAAGGTAACAGTGTTCCGTGCACCTTGGTGTTTAGTCATGCCGGCCACATGACCACGGAAACGTCTTCGGACAGCGCTGGCTCTTCGGCTTTGAAATGGAGATGAGCACCGCAACCCTAGAGTCGGACTCGACTGGCTTTCAAGCAAGGGAACCTTTACCTTTCAAATGCATTCTTTATTCTGAACAGAAATGTACTAGTTTTTGCATTATTTGTAGTTTTTGTTACAAAGGGTGTTAAGTGGCAGGCAAAAATATTTCAGTACAGAAAGTTTCAGTATATGGGTAACTATGACTAGACTACATCCATCATGTATCGTTCACTCATGTGAATCACAATTTGTGATAACAAGACATCCCCATCTTTACCTGGAACATCATTAAGTTTGCACTGCTAAAACAGTGTTTTGTTTTTGCTGTCTTAATTTTGTCAATTCCTGTCCCACCATTAGCTGAACACACTTCTGAGACTAAAGTTGTATTATTCATCTGCTTTCTTTTTCTTCTTTCCTTAGAAAGTGCCAAGTAAAGGAGGAAGGCAAGGCCAGCCACATCAGTTCACAAAGTTCAGCTTTTCTCCAGTGTGCTGTTTTTTTATTTGCTTGTTTTTGCCATGCTTCTGCATTATTATTATTTTTTTTGGGGGGGGGGATGAGGAACCACTTACAAATTTACATTTAGGCATTTTCCTTAATTGAGTGGGGGCAAGTTGACTAAGTATCATTGGTTGTCAAGTTCAGTCCTGAATGATCTTTTTGCAGAAATTAACCCTGCACAAGGACAGCAAAAGGCTTTAAAATGAAGGGTTGTTATTTTAATATTCAGCCCACACAGAAAGTGAGAGAGGATTTTTGTTTTGCTAAATAAATCCCATACCGATTTTTGCAGCTAATCAGCCTACAAAAAGCATAGTAGTTACTGCAAGTATTTGGAAAATAATGGGGCTAGCACAGTAGACCAGATTCTGAAATGCAAGCTCTGTGCCTTTGGCCCACAACATACGGAATGCAGGGATCAACGTCAAAGACATCCTTGAAAGTTTTATTACTCTGTCCTCCACTAGATGTCTGGCTTTAACTACTGAACACTGAATTCATTGCATGAATGGAGTTGAGATGCCCTCTAGAGGGGAGGCGGTATTGCTGTATGTAAAGGTTCAATACAATATTAAAGGAAAAATTATGTGAATCTTGGAGATAACACCCTGTATCTTTTGCCTAGCATATCAGATTGGACATCCTTTAACAGTGTCTTTTTAGCCTATAAGCTGTTTTAGAGAAGTATCTAGAAAATGAATAGTGGAATTATAAGTAAGAATATAGCTAATACTTATGCTAAAGAACAGGCTTCTCTCTCATCCAGAGCAGGCATGATTCGGTGTTTTTCTTTAATCATATAAGAAAGCAAAGTAGTGTTTTATCTCTCAGCAACAGATAAGATTTTTAACTATTTGCATCTTAGTCTATAGCATGGTAATTATGTGTTTTGAATGTATGATCAGTCCTTCGTGAATATTTTTAACAATGATGATTTTAGTTACAAGCCTTTGAAAAATAAAAATAACCACTAATGAAATGCTGCCGTCTTGTTCATTCCCGTAGTTGATTGACCCTTTATTACACCAGCAATATGGCAGAGTGTCCTTTGCAAAATTACCAGTTGCTATAAGAACATTATCACACATTTGTTCATTCCACTCCATAAATTGGTTCAGGGCCTGTTTCTGTTTCCACCTGCTTGTTGCAGTTCTATCTTTATGCTTCAATGGTTTCCATTTGGTCTTGCGAAAATGTAAAATCAGAGGAGTTGTACAGACCGCGCAGATCACAGGGATGAATTATGCCTTCCATTTCAACAACACAGGATGTGGGGAAAGGGTGACAAGCAGAGTTCCCTGCTAAGCATGCAAAATGAGCCATGTAAATGATATGCTTTCTGTCTTCTGAGAATCAGTAAAAACCCAAGAATTTATTTATTATTTTCAATTTATATCCCACCTTGCCGGGGAACTGGCTCAAGGCAGCATACAAGCATTAAAATACAATAAAACAGTAAATAAATACAGTAAAATACACATAAATAACCAATATAACATCATAAAGTGCTAATAAGAGTTGTGCAAATGATGGCGGCATTCAGTATACAGTCGCATAATAGAAGGCAATATCCAGCAGTGTATCATAGGTGCCGTAGTATGTTCCGGTGGCTCGTTCATCAGTGGCAGATCCTAATTGAAGGCCTGGTGGAAGAGCTCCGTTTTACAGGCCCCGCGGAACTGTAAACGGTCCCACAGGGCCCTGATGTCATCCGGGAGCTCATTCCACTAGTGTGGAGCTGCCACTGAAAAGGCCCTGGCTCTAGTAATGGCCAACCTGGCGTCTCTTGGGCCAGGGAGAGTTGTGTGTCCCTGACCTCAGTGCTCTCTGGGGCACATATGGGGAAAGGCGGTCCCTCAAGTAGGCAGGCCCCTCCCCCCTGCAAATCTTTGTTTTTTGCTACATGTTCAAGTAGTCTGGCTTTTGTGCAAGTGTCCTATAGTATAGCAGAGTGTCCTGTATGTCTCAAGGTTGCTGAAAAGCTTGCTAGTGATACAGGTAGGTAAAGCATCTGGCCCATTGTTAGGAAGTAACTGCTTTATTGTATTTATTGTATTTTAAAAATGGCTATTGACACACATGTGCCATAACCCTTTTTATAGGCAGAAGAGTACTACAAAACTGTTCGTCTAAGGCAAAGGTAATACTTAGTGTAAATGCTCTTCCAATTTTTAATTTCACAATTATATTTTTATTACACAAAAACAACCGAAATGATGTTGCCACAAGCTGACTTGCCAGATTAACTACTGAACATGAGCCATTTCCCACAGATCCCTTTGCATCAGCTGCCATAGACACCTGCAGCTTCATGGCATTCAACTTCCATTATCAAGATGGCAGCAATGGATACTGACTTACATACCCTGGCTTTATGACAGCCATTAGGGCGTGTGGGAGTAGATCATTTGCATGACTGCATTCTTCTGTGAAAAGGACACATGGTGGCCTATACCATGAAGACAAGCAAGACTGTAGAGGACTTTGAGTAAAAAGAAGACACACTGGAGCTTGTAAGCTGTTAATGAACAGAGAGTCTCACTTCATGCTTCATGGGATTCTTTGTATTTTTCCAAGTTAGGATAGACAGGAGGCAGTGTGCCAGTTGAGACTAAGCTTGGCACAGTTGCCACCGGATGAACAAGGGAGCAGACACATTTCTATACTGCAGCTCCCTCCAAAAATTCAAAATTAGAAAATGTTGACTGGCGCTTGGTTCAGAGTTATCAGTGGGGGAGCTAAGCAGACACAAGTTTGGTTCCCTTCTGTGGAAAGAGCTTTGCAACAGACAACACATGGCCCCTAGGACAAATGTGTACAAACCTTTCGGACAAGCTCTCTTCCACAGCAAGTCAAGATGATCCTTGTGGTCAGCTAGAAACTGTTAAGAGCCCCCCTGGTGGGGGGTGTTGTGTGGCTCTTGCCCTTCGAAGCAGTCCTCAACACTGGTCTATTTATTATGTTAAATAAGCTATAGGATAAGTCAAAAGTTAATTCAATCTTTCATTAACATCTAATTTATCTGAAGTATAGTTTAGAAGAAAACATCAGAACCGTGCTTGATCTGACCAATGGCCCATACAGTCTAGCATCCTACTTCACAAAACAGTTGCCCTTGGAGGGTCAAACAAATAGGGCATAGAGCTTGATGCTGCCTCCTGGCATGATATTCAGAAATCTGCTGCCTCCGTATATGGAGGTTCCTTTTACTCACTATGACTAGTAGTGATTGATGGGCCTCTCCTCCATGAATCTAATTCCCTCTTAAAGCTATCCATTCTGGTAGTAAATTCCATACCTTAAGTATTCATTGAATAAGGAAGTAATTCCTTTTGTTTGTCTTGAACCGATTTCCCATCAAGTTCATTGGGCATCCCCAAGCTATAGCATTATGTAAAAGGGAGAAAAATCCATCTCAATTTTTTCTGCCCCATGTGTAATTTTATAAATCTCTACCTGCCTTTGTTCTAAACTGAAATTCCCTGACTCTTCAGCTTCTTATAGGAAAAGTGCTCCAACCCCTTAATAATTTTAGTTACTAACTTCTGCAGTTTTTCCAGCTTTGCAGTATCCTTTTGGAGATACATTGTCTAACATTGCATACAGGTTTTCAAACGAGGCTACACCACAGACCAATACAGGGGTATTATAATATCGACCGTTTTATGCTCAATCCCTATCCTAATAATCCCTAGCCTGGGTTTGCCTTTTTCATTGCAGCAGCACATTGGGTTGACACTTGCATTGAACTATCCATTATGACCCCAAGGTCTTGTACCCTGTCAGTCTCAGCAGGTTCAGACCCCATTAGCCTATACTTGAAGATGGGGTTTTTGTTCCAGCGTATACCACCTTACACTTACCAACACTGAACTTCATCTGTTGCCCACTCAACTCAATTTGTGGAGATCCTACTGGAGCTTTTCACAGTCGGCCTTGGCTTTCACCATCCTGAATAATTTTGTGACATCTGCAAACTTGGGCACTACACTCATCCAGAGTTCCAGGTAATTTATGAACAAATTAAATAGCACTGGCTGCAATACCGATCCTTGAGGGGCCCGCATTACTTATTTCCCCCCATTGAGAGAAATGTTCATTTATTCCTACTTTCTGCTTCTTGTCATTTAGCCAATGTTTAATCCATAAAAGTCCCCAACCTCTTATCCTATGACGGCTAAGCTAAGTCAGGAGTCTTACTGTCAACATAACATATGTTCCTTTCTGTTCATCTCATCTGGAAAAACTTTCCACTTTTTAAAGGAAGTCTTTTCAAACCTAATCTGGGAGAACCGGGTTTGATTCCCCACTCCTCCATTTGGACCTGGCTGGATGACCTTGGGCAAGCCATAGTTCTGATAAGAGCTGTTCTTGAAAAAAAAGAGCAGTTTCTGTCAGAGCTCTCTCAGCCCCACCTACCTCACAGGGTGTCTGTTGTGGGGAGGGGAAGGGAAAGGAGTTTGTAAGCCGCTCTGAGACACCTTTGGGTAGTGAAGGGCGGGGTATAAATCCAATCTCTTCTTCTTCCTTGATTTGGGTTAACCACACAAGCATCATTTTTATTTGGTACCTGTATGGGCCTCCATTAGTAAAATTTTAATAGTTTTCAAGAATCCTGGAGCGATTGGATTGTCTTAATACTGCCTTGTAACATGCTTCTGACTAGTCCCCTCATTCTTCTAAAGCTCCCTCTTTTGAAAATAAATGTTATTGTTTGGGGACATTCTTCTAAGATGAACAGTGAATTTAATAGCATTGTGGTCACTGTTCCCAAACCATACGACGTCATCTACATCTTGTACCAGGTCTTGCACCCTGCTCAGAGGCAAGTCCACAGTTGCTACACTTCCCGTTGGCTTAGTGACCAATGGTTCTAATGCACAATCAATACTGATATCTAGAAACCCTGTTTCCACAGTATGACTCAAGCACACATTCACCCAGTCAATGTGAGGGCAGTTGAAGTCATCTAGTCTTATAACATTTTCTAATTTAGTCACCTCCTCTCTCCATGTCAAGATCTGCCTCATAGTTTTGATCAGGGGGATGATAGTGCATCCCCCTTTTAAGTAACCCTTAGGGCCCAGTATCTCCACCCATAACAATTCTGAGTTTATGTGGTGGGGAAAGGGGAAGAGTTTACTCCCATAGTTTCCTGGTTTATCTGATTTTATGCTCTTCCATATACAGAGCAATGCTGTCCCCATCGTGTCCCTCCCTGTCCCGTTTATAGAGTTTATGACCAGGAATGCTGCCCCCTTGATTTTCCCCATTCTACCAGGTTTCTGAAATGCCCATTATATCTAAGTTACTTATCACCATGCATTTCAACTCCCCCCACCGTGCCTGGGAGACTTCTAGGACTGGCATATAGGCACTGTTTCCCCCTCTAAGGATCCTCACCTGCCTCAGCACTTAGTTTTCTTCATACAAATCTCCTTTACTGCCCTACACTCTGAAGTTGTAGCCCACATCACCCAATATTTTCCCAATATGGTTTATCACACCATCCCTTTGGCATCAGTCATTCTGTACCAGAGGCTCCCAGTTCAAAAGCTACTCTGCCACCTTTTGGATATTAAATACTGGTGGGAAGCCCCCCACCAGAGGACTGGATCTAATCTGATATCCGGGTACCACTGCTATACTCAAATAAATCTGACATCTGAACAAATTGCTTTACATGGTATTTTATGATTTGTGATTTTATGCTGTTTTAATTTGTTATTAAATGATTGTTTAACAGTATTGATGTAAACCGCCCTGAGCCTGCTCATGGGAGGGAGGGAGGGAGGGAGGGAGAGGAGGAGGAGGAGGAGGAAAAGGGAAGGAAGGAAGGAAGGAAGGAAGGAAGGAAGGAAGGAAGGAAGGAAGGAAGGAAGGAAGGAAGGAAGGAAGTTCTGCCAAATAAATATTTGTAGAAGTTCACATAAATTGCCGAATCCAACTTTTTTGGGGAGGGAGGGGATTACCTTGGCACAGCATTTTTTAAAATACAGACTCTGATGGGATTTTTTTTTTACAGAAATTGAGTATTTCAGCAAAGACTTGGTTGGTAGAGAGAAGTGAAGGAACAGAAGAATTACTTCTAAGGGACGAGAGAGACGTAGTGTCAATTGAGAGATGGAGCTACCAAGGGGAGCATACAACAATATATGGCACAGCTCCAAATCCTCAGTCATCTTGAGAGCCTTCCAGGCTTCACAATGGATTTCAACCTTTTAGAAAGAAAGGGCACATACACTTCCACAGTCCACTCCTTGCAAGCAAGAGCACTGGGAACAAACACATGCCGATCAGGGTGCACAGTACACAGCTGAGGTGTGCAACTGACCACAGTCCTTCAGGGAAGTTTAGTTGTGGCTGAGAGATTTGCTCATTGAACTTGAAAAGAACTGGCACAGTTTCTTTTTTCCCAATCAAAATGTTTTATTGTGTTCTATAAAAAAAGACAAGACAAAATTCAACCTAGGGACGACAAAGTTTTGTACATTTTGAACACAAGTCCAGAAAAGAAGGTTACAGAGCACAATCAGAGAACAATCCTCCCTTAAAAGTTAAAATTACTTTCATTTATTGGAAAATGAGTAGCACAAAGACCAATGATGTTCTTAAAAATATAACTCGTAAGGACTGGAATGAGGGCAACAGAGGAGGCAGAGACTGTGAGAAAGAAAATGACTGCATTAAAGTGTCTGTCATCACAGGAGACTTCCTGTTCTCTAAAGCCCACTTTAGTTACATCCCCCCCCTCTCATTGGCAATATCACCAGGGTATCCCCAAGCTCCCATCCAGGGCCATTGCTAGCTCTAAAAGTCACAGTTAAAAATAGTTATAAATTAAGATTTAAATTCAACCTTTGACATTTGTCCTCTTTTGTTTTAAAAAAATATATATAAACACACTACTTCTTTATGTTGAAAATTTCCCAGTCACTTCTCATAGTAAGTTACTGTAGAGAGAGAACAAAAAGTGTTATTAGTATTCCTTGCAAGATTGTAACAGCAAGTGATCTGTTTAGGGAAGAATTGCGATTCCCGCCTGTTCCTACCTAAAATAAAAAAGCGGTGGTTCCCCTTACTGCTGCGAACAACCCCAAACCCAAGGAACCAGTTCCTCTCGCAGCTTCCCAACTTACCCTGCAAGAGACTGCAGGGGACACTGCAGGATTCTCAAGAGCAAGACTCCAGTAAGGCTTTTAAGGCCTTCCATTTAACTTTTCTAAATTGACCGATCAGAGTGGCACACAGCTGTCACAGAGACAGACCTCGAGTGGCACACAGCATGAAAATATCCAGCTTCCACAGGACCAGGAAGAGATGGATAAAGAAATGGCTCAAAAGGTATTTGCGTTTTCAGTCCAACGGCAGCATCAAGCTCAACTCCTAAGCAGTCTTATAAAATGGCACAGAACATGCTACAGAGCTTTCCATACATGGACAGATGATAAGCAAAAGCCTTGGTTGACCTGCACTGGGAGGGGGAACAAGAGGGAGCCTGGACACAGATTTTTAAAGGAAAGGGGCTGATACCAGCATGGCACATTAGTTCTGCAGAGTAAAAAGGCGTCCTAAGATACAAAATGCAAAGGTTTCATGAAGGGGGAGGGGACCTTGCCCATCTGTTCAATAAATAATTTTTTCCTTAAGCATCCGGTTCTAGCTAGAGAAGGAAGACATAGGGTTTAATCTGCCAAACTGAACATGAAATAATTAGCATTCAGAATGCTCAACGATACTTACTCGCTCACACTGCTGCTTCAAGATCACTAGTTTTCTGTGAAAAAAGAGGAAGTTACTTAGATTTAAAAAAAAACACAGAGCAAGAATTGGCACTGCCTCTGACATCTCTGGCTCGTTCCATCAGCAGACAGAACACAGACTCAATTTCAGATGGTGAAATAGGTCCTTCCAGTTCTTCCTAGCCACCCACGTAACCATTTCTCTCCTGCCTCCCTCTCACACGCCAGCCAAATGACTTTATTTCTCTGTAAAAGAAATACTGCAAAGTATACTGAGGAATTAATGCAGCAAGAACTTTTGTATGCCATATATTGAACCAGAGCTGAAGGTTACTCGATGACACAAGCAGTAAGCAGTAAGCAAATCATAGTTGGACTTGAGAAACAGTTTGTGTTACTGGATCCAGTCAGTACTACTATAAATGTCACAGGCCGCCCGTAGCAGGTACTCTCACCAGTCAAAAGGGAGGGAGGGATGACTTTCACTGATTCCCCATTCCCATCCCCACTCTGACCCACAAGCTGTTCCCTGGGATCTAGGAGAGCAGAGGCAAGAGAGTTAGCCTATTCTCATGCTACACAGAATACTTGCAGCAACACACAAATCAGTCAGACAGATCTACCCATCAGGAAAGTTTATTTAAGCAAATCATAGTTGGACTTGAGAAACGGTTTGTGTAGTCTCATGCTACACAGAATCCTTGCAGCAACATACAAATCAGTTAGACAGATCTACCCATCAGGAAAGTTTATCTGAAGCTTCTCTTACCTTCTTTTTCTTCTTCTTCTTCTTGTTTAACAAAAGTGACCCATCAGAAGTAACAGAAGAAAGCATTTTGTTCTTCCTTTTCTCTGCAAAACACCATATAGAAAGAAAGGCATGTGAAAAACAGATCAGAACTATTTCCCCCCTCCCCCGAATCACTGCTGCAATCTCCAACTCTTAATTGCAGAACTTTCCTAACTGAGAAGCAACAAATGCTTGGGGGGGCCTAACTGGTATGGATCGCTCTGAATTATAATCATAACCCTTCCACCCATTATGGAACTTTTAGGAAAAGATCTCTTAAAAGTTAACAGATTTAGATATAATAGTGAGTTGCATGGTGATTTCATTAAATCTAATTACCTCAGAGATTGAAAGAAAAGTGGCTTGTACAAGGCCTCGGTCAGAGGAACTTCACAAAGACCTCTTCTCAGTCCCAAAGGCCTGTGATGGGTCTCCCTGCAAGGGACTTGCTACATTTCAAGTCTGGTTCTAATGGACTCCTATTGCATGAAAAAACCTAATGCCCTGGGATATGGAAACCTTAGGAGGGCAGCATTCTCAAACTCTGATAGCAAGCAAGTGGCCCTCTAAAGAGACAGGAAGGCACAAAGGCAGAATCAGGTCAACTAAAGGCAAAGACAAAGAGATATTCTGAAGGGGGTGGGATTTTAAAGCACATCCCTGAGTCTCAAAATAACTGTCTCAAAACACATTTCGAACTGCTTCCACTACATTCGGAATATATGCATGCCTGTTCTCTCTTAAAGGTAAAGGTTCCCTTGCTCGAAAGCCAGTCGAATCCGACTCTAGGTTTGCGGTGCTCATCTCCATTTCAAAGCCGAAGAGCCAGCGCTGTCCGAAGACGTTTCCGTGGTCATGTGGCCGGCATGACTAAATACCAAGGCGCACGGAACGCTGTTACCTTCCCACCAAAGTGGTACCTATTTATCTACTTGCAATTTCTTGCTTTCGAACTGCTAGGTTGGCAGGAGCTGGAACTAGAGACGGGAGCTCACTCCGTCATGCGGCACACTCGGGTCTCGAACTGCTGAACTACTGACCTTCCACAGCCTGCAGCACTCTTAAGAGGAGACAAATTCTGAGAAGGCAAGTTTTAAGCCTTCCTAAAGGTGGCAGTACAAGTAAGGAAGTTTGCAGAATGAAATGCAGCAACAATCTGCAATCATGGCTATGCTCAGACAATTTCTCAAGATAATTAATGTTTGAGAGAACAAATCTACTTACGACATGTATGCTGTTGATGGCCTTACCCTTGAGGAACACACTACAGTAGTTAAGGTCGCTAGCCTATGGGGCGTTTCAGCTCCTCCCCACAAATGGATTCAACAGTGTTCCAGTTAACTAAAGGACTGTGAGGGGCTCTGGGTCAGTGGTAGAGCATCTGCTTGGCATGCAAAAGGTCCCAGGTTCAATCCCCACTATCTCTAGTTATAAGATCTGGCAGCAGGCAATGTGAAAGACCTCTGTCTGAGACCCTGGGGAGCTGCTGTCAATCTGAGTAGACCATACTGACTACGATGGACCCAGGGTCTGATTCAGTACAAGGCAGTTTCATATGTTCATGACCAACTGCAGGCTTTCACGGCATGACTGACATACTAAGATTGGAAGTAAGGGTAGAAATAAGACACCCTCTTATTCACACATTAATTACTTCTTTCTCCAATTTCTAGGTTAATGTAACCTCATGCTTGCTAACATCAACAAAAGAAGTGGTGTCAGAAGCCTGCACATAGGGAAAGTGGTATGAATTGACAAAAAAACACACCCTGATTTGGGGGTATGACATCTGCCAGAACTAGACTCTTTTCACTGCACATATTTGTTTCACAATGGCTACTCAGTTTCATCAGAAACCCCCCTCCTGCCCCCTTTTCCTCCCATTCTATTTTCCCTTCTCATGTTTTGTTGGAAGATGGCTGTGACTTCTTCCCACTATATGAGCTGGCACTGCAAGAGAGGACTCTTTGCAGAAATGTACTAGGAAGAACAATGTACACTGTAGGAGAGCTAGCTCTGCTCTTTCAAAATGGAGAATGGTGAACAGCAGTCCAGCAGCTCACTCACTCTGCTCAACAGCCACTCTCACAGTCTGATGGCAGCCTTAAAGCCACAGAGTCATCTACAGAGATATTCATGACTTGCCCAATTAATGCTTAATGCAACAAAACCTGGCAGCCCTCTGTAACTGAAGCACATTTTCCTTGCTTGATCTATGATGGCCGTGGACGTATGCCTGGTACTGCAACGGTCGTCTTCATTTCAAGTTTAAGTTAGAACCCAGTGAAAGAAAATAACGTTTCCCAAATGGCCTGCTATAAATAATAATAATTTAGTGCCATCAGGCACTCATGGCGTTTTCAAGGCAAGAGAGAAGTAGAAGCAGTGTGCCGTTGCCTACCTCTGCATAGCAACCACAGGCTTTCTCGGGGTCTCCCGTCCAAATACGAACCATGACCAATCCTGTTTCGCTTCCAAGCTCTGATGAGCTCAGGTTAGTCTGGGCTATTCAGCCTGCTAAATGTCCTACTGGCTCACTCACATTTCTTCCTTTCTCTGGCCCTTGTCCACAAGAAACATTAGCAGTGACTGTGTGAACACATCCTGAATATACAATCATACTAAAAATGGGTGTGTTGGGCAGTGTTCCCTCTAAGCTGAGTTGGTGTGAGCCAGCTCACAGTTTTTTAGCCTCCAGCTCACACATTTTTGTCTTCGCTCAGGAAGGAGGGCTCCAGAGCAAACTGATTTATGCAGTAGCCAAATCACTCGCTCACAACTTTAAAGCCAGTAGCTCACAAAGTAGAATGTTTGCTCACAAGACGCCACAGCTTAGAGGGAGCATTGGTGTTGGTGTTTTAGAAGGTCAATTTATACAGAGATAATGGACTACAGCAAATTAATCTCCAACTGCCGCTATGCACACCACCATGAATGAAAGGCTCCCAATAAAGCAGGTTATCCGAGAAACATGAATAGGGACCCCAGACTGGCATGAGAGGTACAGAAGGGAAGGAAGTGACAGCTCTCCTTCATGTTATTGGAGACAGCCTGATGAGTGGAACGGAGTCAGGCACGGCAGGGAGAGTCCGGGCAGTGAACAAGAACTGAGACCGAAAGGAACAGGAGACACCAGGGAAGCTGAGGCAGAGTCAGACCTCATGCTTGAGAGAAACTGACTGCAGGCCATGGGAGTACACGAGAGAACAGCAGACAGCCGATGAGGCCACCTCCTGGTCTGCTTCTCTTTGGGAGTTTTAACAGATTCATTGATGCTACAAATGGAATCAGAGAACAGGGGATTAAGGGCGGCAAAGCAGAACAGCACCCAATAAAATAGGACGGGGAGATCACTCATTGCAGCGTGGGGAGCAACTCTGTTCCACTCTCCTCTGGCACCCATTTCAAGTTCTGGGCTCCCAAAGGAAGAAAACAAATAGGAACACTAAGGCTGGGGATGGAACTGCAGGCCAGAGTTCAACATAAGATACACAATAAACAGAAAGCTCACAGGCTTTTGTTACACTACTAACACAAGAGAAGGATTAAGTCTTGTTGCTAGTAAGCAATGACACACAAGCCCATCTGGGGGCAGCAGAGTGTGCTGAATGGAGAAAAACAGGGCGGGGAAAATAATTTTGCATGGAGTTCATATGAGAGGGGGGGGGCTCTTGCTCTTACTGGATTTTTTCCCCTTGCCATCTTTTTTCTTTGGTGACTTTGCGCTGTTTGAAGACTTGGATTTCTTCTTTTTCTTCACCACCTCTGAGCCAGTCTGCCCCTTCTGTTTTTTCCTTTTTGGTTCCCCAAGACCAGTATCTCCAGCTGCCAGTTTCCGTTTCTTCTTCTCTTTCTCTTTGACTCCAGCCTTTGATGGCTTTATTGTTTTGGGAGTCTTGAGGGCCACAACAGGGGTGGTTTGTGTGTTGCCCTGGGCTCCTGCGCCGGGGGCTGTATCTCCAGTCTCAGAGTGAGGGGTGAGGAGGGGTGGCAACTGTACGCCTGCATTTCCTTTGGCTTTGCCATTCTTCTGAGACTTGGCTGTGGCTTTCTTTGCAGAAGAGGCCTTAGAAGCAATGCTCTCTGGTCCCGTTTTCCCCACGGTGGCACCCTTGCTCATCTTAGCCACGACAGATTCCGTTGCGGAAAACGGCACGGCTCCAGTTTCTGTAAGAAATAAATTGAAATAAGATGACTCAAACTTTCTTTACCGCCCAAGCAGCTATTGAGATGCATATGCCTCTCTGATGCCTCCAACTCCTACTCTTAAACAGCGCGGTTCACAGGTAAATCATCTCATGCACTGAATTAGTAACAAGGCTTATGATCAGCATTGAAAAAGGCTAGAATTATGCATGCTCAAACTGCATGAAAGATTTCTTTCCTACGCTGAAGGGGAAGGGCGTTGGAGGTGCACTTAGTATGCCGAAGCCCACAGCTTTTTGAAACTGCCTGCTGCTCTCCCGCACCAGCACAGGCATATGGCCACTCTGTGGGTTGCGCCTGTGAATGCACCCATGGCCTGCTGTTTGGTGACATGGTATTTTAAAGCAGGCTATGAAAATGTGTGCTTCAGTTGTGCACTTGTAGCACAGGGTGGGGTGGCACCACACACAGCGAACACTGCACATTGGGGGATGTCCTAAAGCAATGCTGTTTGAAGAGGGAGCTGTGAGGGATGGGGGAGCTACTGGGTGTGTGTAGGCTTTGCACTTCCCCACGTTCTGTACTCTTCCATTCCCTGACTTCGCACAGTCATCTCTCTGCAGGGAGGCAAGACATCACCATTTTTTCCTGTCCTGTTTCAAGAGTCAAATGCTAACCATCCTTAGAAAGTACTTAAGAAGACTTTTTTTTAAAAAATGAAGGGAAAAAAAATCTTCACCTTTCCTAGGCAATTTATCCAATTATTGTGCTACAGTTCTTGGAAGTATTGGCAGTTTTCCCTTAGCCTTCAAACATAAGAGTACAAATATAGTATTTAGCCCATATTTCTGATCCAGTCCTCAGAAGCTAGGAAAAAGGCCTTGTTGATCTCAATATATCTTAAAATATTCCAAAATGTGGGTGTCCTTTCAGCTAAATGTCAAGCATCAACTGAAGGCAGATCATAGGAAGCTTCAGTCCTCATCTTATTTTACCAGATGAATCTATACCCTCCAAGTGCAGCAATACAACCAACAGGGAATCCAAATCAGTACAGGGTTGCCACTAAAATTTTGTTTTTCATTTCCCTGACTTCCCTGACCAACATTTGTCAATTGCCCTGACCACCATTCAAATATAACCACAAGTTAAAAAATGAATAGGTCGTGTTGCATTAATGCAAGGCTTAATGAAATGTTCCACTCTACAACTACACAAGTCCCAACTGCAAAAATATTTGTCAAAGGAAGAGATTTAATATCGGCTTCTTTCAACATTAACTGCAGCAACATCTGTTTTGTAATTGCACCAAAAATTACACCAAGATACAAACTTCAATTCAAGTAAACTCTGAATGCTAACAAATGACATAACATGTTTGTTATTGTTTTAAAGGTACACTAAACATTATATAAACGTTCTATCTAAAACGGTTTCTCTGAAGCCACATTATGAAACTTATAGTTTTGAAATTGCAGTAATAATCCAGTTAGAAATTAGAATACAAGTAATCTGTTTTTAAAGAATGAAGATTTAAGATATAAAACTATCACTTCTACAGTTTTCTCTTTTTATTTTGTAACTCTTTTAGTTTCTCATCAATTGTTTCCTCTTCCATTTTGGCTTCTTCTCTCAGTCTTTTTTTTAGCATTTTCAAGAAGTTTAATTTGTCCCTCAAGTTTCTTCTTTTCTTTCTTCTGAATTTCTTCTTGTTGCTTATGGTGTTTAGCCTCCAAGTGCTCTGTGTAGCATGCATGAGCCTGCCTGATTGACTGCAACAGATTCCTATCAATTACAACAGATTCAAGTCCTCCACAGTTCACAACAGCATTGCAAACCTGACATTGGCAGACAAGAGTTTCTTCATGCATGTTCTCAATTAATATTGACTTATTAACTGAAAATCCACTTTCAACAGAAGCATTACCATGAGACAGGATAAGGCACATTTTGACAACAGCCCACAGGTCAGGATGACCTGGGAAACTTAATATAGACCTCACGCCACTTAATATAGAAAATATAAGTCTTCGCTTCTGTTAGGCTTGAGCTTTCCCCTTGCATGGTGCAGAGTAAAAAGTGCTAGTTGTCTGTGAAATCCAACAGCAGCAAAACTCATTTGCAACACTGTGCTGGGTTTAGCAGGAGACAAAACGTCCATTCCATACACAAGCATGACCCAAAAACATGCTTATCTTTATATATGTAAGTCAAATGCAATACTAGCAGGTAGGGATGAAAACAGATGTTTAAAGTTTGTATATCGCTAAATATTGAGCAAACTTCAGAGGACGGCGGAAGACAGGAGGGCCTGGCGTGATCTGGTCCATGGGGTCGCGAAGAGTCGAACTCGACTCTGCGACTGAACAACAACAACAAAATATCGCTAAATGTTTAAGCTAGCCTTGCTTTCCAAATGCTACAGGCAGACCTTGCAAATCATGCAGGGACAGAGCTCAATGAACACATTAGGCTGGTTGCTGGGGGTGGAGCTGAGAAAAACGTGGAGCTGGGAATCATTAAGTTTTACTTGTATTCTGCTACTTCTCTATTCCAGTTCCCACAAGGAGAGATCATGCTCTTTCAGCAGCAGGTCAAAAATCCACGGCTTGAATATATTTTAATCACAATTTCCCTGACTTTCCCTGACCAATTTCCATTTCCCTGACTTTCCCGAAAGTGGCAACCCTGCAGTATGAGTTTCCTGCAGGCCATATTTCTCCAGCTTTCAGCAAGAAATAGAGAAGTTTTGTTGTTGTTATTTTACAGGCCAAGGCCTCATCACATGTACATCTCACTAGCTCACAAGCAACACAAGCAGGCAGCAGGGAAGGGAAGTTTAACACAAACGTATGTCAACCACTCGCTTTGCTAGCACACATGGGAGTAATCTGTAATGGAATAATAAAGGTAAAGGTTCCCTTGCTCGAAAGCCAGTCAAATCCGACTCTAGGGTTACGGTGCTCATCTCTGTTTCAAAGCCGAAGAGCCAGTGCTGTCCGAAGACGTTTCCGTGGTCATGTGGCCGGCATGACTAAACACCAAGGTGCACGGAACGCTGTTACCTTCCCACCGAAGTGGTACCTATTTATCTACTTGCAATTTCTTGCTTTCAAACTGCTAGGTTGGCAGGAGCTGGAACTAGAGACAGGAGCTCACTCCGTCATGCGGCACACTCGGGTCTCGAACCGCTGAACTACCGACCTTCCACAGCCTGCAGTTCAGCGTCTTAACCACTTGAGCCACCGCAGCTCCTTTTAATGGAATAATACTGATCCATTATTCCCTGCAGGCATCTAGCCGAAGGGATGCATAAGAGGTAAAAAATAGCTTATGATGCTTCTGGGGATAACCAACAGGTGGCACCAGCAGCTTTATCAATGGGGTTGACAACTAGGCCTTATTTTAAGCATTCCTCTTTATTCCAGAACCTTGAAGCCTCCATGGACAAAGAAGACGGCATAATGGAAGCTTTGCATTTCAGGCACCACAACTTTGAAGTGCTATATATTTCTGAAATTTTGTTTGGGCAACCCCCAACTATGAACCAGCACCAGCAATTATTGATATTCTGGTGCATATCGAACAATCCATCAATGGAAGGGCACAACTTTCCCACATTCCTCTCCACTCCTGCAGCCCCTTCTAACTCTCAGAAAGGCTGCTCTTGGGATTGCAGGATCCATAAACAGAACTGCCCCCTGGGTCAGTGAGCTGGAGGGAGAAGCAGATGAAATATGAAATGTGCTTATGGAAGAGGCAGGAGTGATCCCTTCCTTTCTCCAGCACCATTTAACTCATGCAGTTGTTGCTTAACATGGGTCTTGTGACCCTGAGAATGATCTTTCTGGGGGCTGGAAGGGGTTGCAGGAACAGAGGGGAATACAGGAAAACAGCCTCCCATGCACAGAATGGCAAGGATACATGCTGCTAAAATTCTAATAACAAAACACACGGGCTTTTAAAAAAAAAATCAAGTCTTCAGTTTCAAAATTTGAAAACATCCTCCATGAAATCAAGCGTAATAGTCCAACTAGTGAAAAAACCCCTCCTACCATCTTTATGCTGCTTGTAAGGAGAGTCACTAGACCTGTTACAGAATGCATCGCAAAAGAGGCCCAGAAACTTTGGCTTGGTTTAGTAGCAACCCCATTACCTCATTACTTTTGGTCCTTCAAGTCCTCTATGTGCCAAGATCTCACAGGGAAAGGAAGTGTCTCATGCAAAACTTAGCTTTGCGGCGGACAGAAACGGTGTAGACAACTCATTGTGCTGAGACTCCTTCCTGCCTAATCTAGAATCAAGGGGAGAATCTGAACTAAGCCTTTGCCAGCAAGCCACAGGCTCTTGCCTGAGCAGCTTCCTTTGCAGAGGCCTGTGCCCACACAATGCAGCTACCAAACTTCCTCTTTTCTCCAGCATTCTCTAAGAACTGATTCCTCGAGACTAACCTGCCTTTGGCCCAGCTGGTGTTTCCTCGGCATCTGAATCAGAGTCACTGCTGTCACTTGATGAGATGTCAGCAGCGCCTACTTTCTCCGAAGACTTTGCAAGGGTATGGAATGCAGGAGTGGCAGTAGTGGCTGCTGTTTTCCCAGAGCCTTGTTTGGATGGCTTAGGTGCCACGCTCTTCTGTGCAGTGGCTGCCGGAGTTTTCAAAAGACCCGGATAACCTGCTAAGAGAGACTACAGAGAGGGGATGCATACAAGATTAAAGAGAGATCATTGCCAAGCTAGGCCATCTTTGCTCTTCAATAAATACCAAGAAATTTTATTTCTAAAAGAATTAAAAAGAGGCCTTTTAGCCAGACAGCTCCTCAAGGCCTTGTTTACTTGTAGAAGAGCTGAAGCCAAAAGGAATACCGTTCTTCGGTCTGTTACTCTAACCTTTAGCAAGCCAAGGAGCATTGGTGGTCAACCTTGGGACAAGAACCAATTTACCTCTTTTAGTTGCCTAGTATGTTTTATGTGCCCTGACCTGGATGGGTTAGCCGGATCTTGTCAGATCTCAGAAGCTAAGCCAGGTCAGCCCTGGTCAGTCTTTGGATGGGAAGATGAGGGTTCCTACACAGTGGCAGGCAACGGCAAACCACACCTCTGTTCATCTATTTTATGCACTTCTACAGACAAACAATTGATGATGGTGGTGGCAGGAAATACACATGCAGGGAGTTGGCAGGGCAGGCTACCAATTTCTGTGGAATGTGGGAATCTGACAAATGTGTGTGAGGGGGTGTAATTCGTGGAAACACTAGAAGAAGCCCTCATCCTCCTGTGACTCAGGCTCTATTGCATGATCATTGTTAAATTTGCCCCCAAGGGACATGTTTGTTCAAGTGTCCGAGTGCTGCTATCTAATTGCTACATCCTGGCTATGATCTGAAGGAAGCTTGTGGACATATGAACTGAATATATGAACCCATGGAAACCACACGGCTGAGTTTTCTGGCTTCTGGCAGTTTGTGAAGGCAACCCAGTTGTGCTCCTTTGTGGGCAGAAGCATGGAATCTGCCCATAGGCTGACAGCAGCATAGCTGGAGAAAGGCACAGTGAAAAAGCAGCCAAATGCTTACATTCTTCCTATGGGAGAACAGAGCATGTATGCAAGTGTTTTATGGGTTTATGGCATATGCAGTAAATTTGCTTCTCTGTTCTCTCCCCGTTAAGCATACACATGAGAGGCTGCTGACCATTAGCATACTCTCAGGCTTGCATGCAAGCCTAATATGTCACAGATGTATGGCACATACATACATTGCTTATAAAGAAGTTTATAGCTTAGACAGGGCTTAAATTACAAATCAGAACTGCTGCTGTGTGCATAACACAACTCCCCTTGTTTAACCATTTCACTGCACAGCAGTTCCCCCCAGGTCTGCCCTTCATTTGGGCTCAGCAGGTTAACAGAAGGTCAGGCAAGTGCAGTCACCAGCTATGGAGAGAGCCTGTCATTCTATAAAGTTCAGACGCAGGTGCAATTAATAACCGTACCTGCAGCAAGCTTGCGCCAATAATTCAATGTTTCTACAGCCATTTTAGTATAAAATATGCAACACATGTCCAATCCATTTATCCTTAACTCATTTAACTCTCCTATGCATTATAAAAAAATATTTTTCATTTATACACATATACATAAAAATCAATTACTTCCCCTCCAACTTCTGCATGTCTCCATGGACACTCCTACAATAAACGGTGCCCATTATTCTGATTTAAAAAATAAAGGCCAGGGGGTCAAAGTAAATGGTGGAAAAAGGAAAAAACACTGCAAGTCCAGGCTATTATGAGTCTAAATTATTTCAACATGAACATTAAAAACAAAAATAAACGAGGGGGGTGAGCAATGCTTCATGGTGGCGGACGCGTAAATCTAGAGCTCCCTACCTTTGCCTCATCCTGGCTTAAATATTGATTTAATACTGACCAAAAACACAGCTCTGAGATGGGAAAATCAAGCGGCAACAAGAATACAACTTCAAGAAGAAACTCCCTGTCTATATTACATATTTATAGACCATCGGTATTAAGTTGAATTTTTAGTACTAAATCAGAAGACCCATTTTAAAGTCAAATTTATGGTATTAAATCTAGACTTATAAGGTTAGATATATTTTATATTAAGATATACCATTTATGTTAACAGTTTATAGATAATTGTGCTTCACTATGTCTCTTAATTCACAAACAGATAATATGCAACTCTGAAGGAAGGAGGCGGGGGGAACGCAAAGAACTAGAATGGGTTAGAAACCTCAAAAATTCATAAGAATGTAATATATCTAAAACAGAGGTTCTTAATGAAAGTCCAACATCCTTAAGATGGTCATCCTGTAGAATGTCCCAGAAAAGCTCATCAGACCTGGTACACACAATTAAAAATCCCCAAGGGAAACTATTGTCAAACACAAAAGATATTGTTCAATCTTTTTATGACAATTTTCAAAAGTTATACAAATCCAATGACCCTCAGGAAACCTCTATTTCGAGTTTCTTAAAATCCATCCATTTTAGAAGACCTGCGTACCTCTTTAAATCTCTGGTTTCTATCTCTGTTGGGAATAACAAAGTCAACTCAAACGGTGATTACAGCTGCTTATCATCTCCCCATGTCAAAAGCTGCCCCTTCTAGAGCATTGCCAGACATTCTCATGGAGTTTGAAGATATACAACAAAAGAGACAGCTGTTTAAACTCGTAAAAGAAAAACAAGGTTTACAGCTTGGGGATACTATTGTTTACTTATACGCAGATCTCCCTCCCTCCGGAAATATTAGCAGCAAGGAGGCGTTTGTGGGAGGTAGCCGTTAAGCTAACTGAAAATAGCGTCAAATTTCGATGGCTACCTCTAGGACATATCTGTGTTCATTTAGATAACAAAACCCTAATAGCCTTTGATGAGGCATCTGGAAAAAAACTTTTGGCTGCGTGTGTAAAGTCATAAGAAATGTTTAGTGACAGTTATGTGGTAATCCATAGAAATACGAGACCTTTAAGATTTAATTGAAGGAGCAATTCTAATTTATTTATTTATTTATTGAGATTTTTGCCCCGCCCTCCCCGCAGAGCGGGCTCAGGGCGGCTTACAAGGGGCGAAGCCCATATAAAACAGATAAAAACAATAAAAACATTAATAACAGTTGTACTCAATTTAAAAACAAGATGGTCTCCGGATACATGCCAGATGGTAAACAGACAGTTCTCCAGGGACGATGTTAACCTATAGCCTATCCCAACCAGGTAAATCCAGTGGTATCAGTCACACAGAAATTGTGGCAGATCTTCCCAGGCCATCCTTAACCCCGATGTTGTCCACCGCATTAGTAGCGGTGGTAGTGGCGGCCCCTATGTGAAAGCCTGGCGGAAGAGCTCCGTCTTACAGGCCCTGCGGAACTGCATAAGGTCCCGCAGGGCCCCGATCTCCCCCGGGAGCTCGTTCCACCAGGTAGGGGCCGCCACTGAAAAGGATCTGGCCCTAGTCACTGGCCTAGATGGTGGAATGTGGCAACATAGGCACATTTATCCACTTATGGTGGGATTGCCCAGGAATACAACCCTTTTGGGAAAAATATCCTCACAATTATAAAGGACATCACCAGCTATTCAATATCTTGTTGCTCAGAAACCACTGTGCTAAATCTTTGGACTGGTGATTCTATCCCCAAATTAAGAAAGGAACTTATTTAAACAATGGTTTCAAAAAGTGTGGGATAACATAGTAATGGATAAGGTATCAGCTCCACTAGCAATGGCAGAAAATCCTTTGTTTCAGTCTTGCTTTGAAGAAAAATGGTTTCTCTTTTTTGACTACCTCACAAATCATGCAACAGAAGGAAATATTTTACCTAAGAAATATATTCATTTTTCATTGTATTATTATTTAACACAATATGTAATGATTAATGATTTATTAGTTCATATGTAAAGTGTAGGAATTTATTTTGCATGGTTATTGTTAAAAATATTATAAATAGAAAGTTATTAAAAAAACCAAAAATAAACAAGTGCTACTTTATTGTGAAGCAGCCACTGAGATAAGGTATAGTTAAAAAAAACCCTGACATCAGAGGGTTAAGGGAAACAGTTAATTCTTATCTCCTCCATTTTATTTTCACAATAACCCTGTGAGGTGGGTTAGGCTATGCGTGTGTGACTGGCCCAAGGTCACCCAGCACATTTCTGTGGCAGAGGGGGATCTGAACCTGGGCCTTCCAGATCCTAGCCCAACACTCCGGAAACTTTGCCACACTGGGTATTTGTCTGACAGCTTGCAATAGGGCTGGGTCAAGGGAGCTCCTCCTTTACCAGTCTGCAGCTGTACTATTATCCCATTTGCATTTTTGTGTTTACAAACAAGTGCTTTAAACACCTGTGCATAGCAATATTGTGATGTGGTCATTACTAACTCTTCAGGAGCAGAGGCTGCTTTTGTGATGCAAGCTGGACCTATGTGAACTGACTCCCCCGCAGGTCAACAAGTGGTAACGAGACAGAAGACAGCTTCTATAGGACCAACACCCAACAGATGTAACAATGCAGCTGCTACCACCCATTCAAAAAAATCCTTGATACCAGCACACAAACTGGCTCAGGGAAGGCACACATCCAAAATAGTCTAAGGGAGAGCCTGCCAAGACTGCTTTCTCAAAGCGTAATATTTAAGTCAAGGAGTAGTACCTGTGAAGGCTCCAGCTCTTCATCGCTGGACTCTTCAGATGAGCTGTCTGCCTCTTCTGCTGTTCCTTGTTTTTGTCCTATGCCTGTTAAAGACAAGAACCATCCTCTGACATTCTTGTACCATTGCAAAGGTCAGGAGAAGCCAAAGAACCTGGGGGATTTTTCACTACCAGGGTCAATTCTGCCATTAGGATTCAAGGACTCCCAATAAAAATCTGCCTAAGGACAATGGCTTTCACTGCACCACAGAACTCCATTCCTCCCCCCTTAGGTGGGCAGTGAGAGACTTATTGGCATAATAGGTATGGTATCAGGAAGCAAGGGAGAGAGGCAGGCGACTTGTCTAGACTAAGTTGCCTTGGTCCTAGTACTGCCTTGATCCTTCTAACTGGTGATTCTTGCTGTCTTATAACACTGGCAGATATTTCCTCTAAGAGGAATTATGCCAGTTGCCAAGTTCTGCAGATCCCACAGTGCATGGATTCCACATTTTGCCTGCCAAATAGGTTTAGCCCACATACCATTTTTCCTGATGGCAAATTTTCAATTTTGTTTGTTCTACAGAAATCTTACTGGGGGGGATGAAATTATTTCCTGCTCTCATAAACTTCTCGCTCATACGACAAAATGATACAGCCAAGGAACACCCACTGAAATTATTTCAGCCACTGACACTTTCTATTTGTGGCTGCTTATCTATTTCACTTCACAGGAGCATATTTCTAAATACCTAATCACAAGGAAAACTGAAGTTCATTTGATCTGAGGCTCAGCCCTGAAACCTACACTCAGTGTTACATTTCAGCCTTGAGATATATGGCAGGCTCGTAGCCAGAAAAGTGTTGGTGGTTGGGGCACTTGGGAGGGGGACATCCCTTCTGATGTCACAAAAATAATAAAATAAAAATAAATCAAATAAAAGGATTTGTTCCTTAAGGAATGGAGGAAGGGCTTTGTTCTTCCCTGTGCTCTCAGAGGTCTTCCTTTGCTAGCTGCTTTTTGGCCCAGGCCACACCAGTTTGGCCCAGGCTCTGCTCCACACTCCGACTCTTGTGGTGAGTCCATGCAAGCCCCCACTGCGGCAGAGCGGGAAAGTTGGGCCGGCAGCTCCGGCCTACCACAGAGGGTCGGACAGAGCCCCGGCGGAGCCGCAAGGAGACAGGCGGCGGGGCAGGTGCGGAGGGCCGGGGAAGTGACTGGCTGGCAGAGGAGGATCCGGGGGAGGAAACTGAAGGGCCTCAATCCGCCTGCACCAAACAGCCAGGTGGTTGTGTAAGCCTGGGTGCCGCTGGCTGCAGGCACTACCCGGGACCATGGTCTGTGAGAGGAGGCGCCACACTGCTCTTCCTAGGGCTCCGTTCAGGTAAGTGGGGCAGCCAACGCTGGCTATAGCCAAAGCTGGGCTCCCAGGGCTTTGCCAGCATGCCCCGATCCTTGGCTAGGGCTCTGTGCCAAAGAAACACGGTCTGGGGAGAGGCAAAGAAGCAGAGAGAAGAAACCTCACCCCCAACCCTCCCCAGTGGCTTGGCGAAGTTACTGCGAGGGGAGGAGAGTCCGAAGAAAAAAGGAAGGAAGAAATCAAGGGCTTCAGGCCAGCATGGCAGCAGCCATACCAGCCAAAATTATGAATTAAAGGGGCCCTGTAAATTTGATAGGGGGCACTGCCCCATCCGCCCCACCACTGGCTACAGCCCTGAAATACGGTATGTGCCAGATTATGTACAGAATCACTCTCCTTTCTCATTTAATGTCAGGGTATAGAAGCGCTTCCAGTTGTAAGGGTGTGATTTTTGGGAAGGCCTGAGCAACTTTTTTTTTTCCCCCAAAACTTTTTTTAACCCCAAAACCCCCCCCCCCCCCGTATTCAAATGCACTGCTATTTTGTTCCTCTTCTGTGCAAGCCTCTCTTATATGGTGATGCCATTTGGTGTGGATAGGATTGGATGGATTTCAGATATTGCTAGGAAGTTTCCCCAAGTTGAACCCCCTTGGACTCTTACCGGGCTGTGGAATCTGTTTGGAAGCTGCTGGTGTTGCTGCTGCTGCTGCCACCTTCTCTTCCTCTTCCTCCTCCTCACTGTCTGAGGAGCTGCTACTTCTTGAATTTTCCTTGTGTTTTAGAATCCCAGCAGGCTTAGCAAGGAGAGTCTGGTTCTGAGATGGCTTGGCCTTTTTGGAAGAGCTCAGCTCCACTTTCCCCCTTGTTGTGGTAGGGGGTTTTCCTTGACACTTATTGGAAACAGAATTGGGTGCTGCAATGTTGACCAGCTCACCCTTCCCTGAAGCAGTGGCTGCTTTACTGGAGGATAGTTCCTGCTTAAAAAATGGGTGAATGGGGGTGGTGGAAAAGGGGTAAGAGAGAAAAAATACACAACACACATTAAATCAAAGCAGGGGGATTCATAACCATAAGAAGAAGATGAAGAAGAAGAAGAAGAAGAAGAAGAAGAGGAGGAGGAG